AGTCAGAAATTGCAAAAATTTTATTTTATAATATCATAATAATAAGATCCTTCGTAAAAATATAATTATCTTTATAAATAACCAAAATTCTTTGGCAGAAATCCAATTATTTTAAAATTTCCTTTAAAAATATTCAATTATTTTCACAAATAACAAAATTCATTGCAGAAATCCAATTATTTTAAAATTTCCTTTAAAAATATTCAATTATTTTCACAAATAACAAAATTCATTGCAGAAATTCAATTATTTTCGTTGGAATTTTAACAAATTTTTCGATAAGATTAAATTATTTTTGAAAGTTTTAATTATTAAATTATCTTCATAAATAATCAAAATATTTTGTCAATTATTTTTATAATTCAATTATTGTCAAGAATTTTAATAAAATTATTTATAAGAATTCAATTATTTTCATAAATAACAAAATTCTTCGTTAGAAATTCAATTATTAGAAAAAATTTTAAAAATTCGTTTGCAAAAAATCAATTATTTCCAAAATTCACAAAATTATTTGCGAAAATTCAATTATTCTCACGGCGTAATTTTAATAAAATTATTTAACAAGATTCAATTATTTTTAAGAATTTCATTTAAATTCTTTGAAACAATTCAATTATTTTTCAAATGTTTGATAAAATTTTCTACATGAATTCAATTTGAAGAAATATTCAATTATGCAATATAAAATTATTTGTCAAATGTGAAAGAAGTAAATTAACTATTAAATAATTATTCAATTTTTCTATTTAAATAATTGAATTTTTCTAGAATTTTCTTTTTCTATAATGTGAGAATTTTGATAATAAAAAAAACATGGAATTTTAGTTAAAATTTGCCGGGAATTGCGAAAATGTTGAAAAAAGCTTCTTTTCCTTGTATACTTGGGGGAGAAAAAGTAGTAGAAAAAAGGGTTTTTATTCGCGAAATATCGAAATACAAATGCTCTCGAGTGTTTTGTGTGAGTAGACAAAGCTCTGGTGACAATACGCCTGCGCTTCCGTTCTCTCTCAACTAGGGTCCATTACGCGTGTTTTGCGGTGTACTTCCCATGATTATTATACGTGTATTTACACGCCCAGCTATCATGTCTAACCCTATATAACCAGGAATTTATTACTCTCTCTCTCACACACTATTTATATGTGCAAAATACGATACTCGATAGTCAGAAAATTACTTATTTTTACCATAAGTATATTTTATCTCTAATTTTCTTTTTATACTCTCTAAATTTTAATTAGTAAAAATATTTACTAAATTTTATTAGTGACTGACTTTTTGCTTTTGAACTAGTAAATTTTACTGATTTAAATTAGTGAAAATTATTATTTATTAGTAAAAACTAAAAATTTACTAATTTTAAAGAAAAATTCTCTTTGAGTTAGTAAATTTTCGTTATTTCTTCGTCTTTTATTAGTAAATAAAATTTATAACTAAAATAAATATAAACTAGTATTTATTATTAAAATTTACTAATTTAAAAGCCCAAATGCCTTTGAATTAGTAAATTGTTACTAATAAATAACGAAACTAAGTAAGTAAAATTTACTAATAAATAAACGAAACTAAACTATTATTTATAGTAAAATTTAAAAACAAAAATTCTTTTCAATTCGTAAATTTTACTAATAAATAACTAAAGTAAATTATTTATTAGTAAAATTTACTAATTAAAAATTATTTTTGCTTTTTAACTAGTAAATTTTACTAAAAAAAAAAATAGAAGTTAACATTCTTTACTTATTAATTATTTAGTAAAATTTTCTAACAAAAAAACCAAAAATAATTTTGAATTAGTTAAATTTACTAATAAATAACGAAACTAAACTATTATTTATTAGTAAAATTAACTAATTCAAAACTAATTTTGGTTTTTTAGTTAGAAAATTTTACTAATTAGTAAATAAATAACGAATGTAAACTATTAAAAAGTTTTATTTTTAAATTATTAAATTTTATTAATTAAAATTTATTAATTAAATTTTACTAATTAATATTAGTTTAGTTACTTTGTTTATTAGTAAATTTTTCTTGTTTAGTTTAGTAATATATTAGTAACATTTACCAATTTAAAGTCATTTTTCCTTTTAAATTAGTAAATTTTACTAATAAATAATTATTTCTATTAATTTTTTAGTAAAATTTACTAATTTAATAGCTTTTTAATTTAAGTGCTTTTTAATTAGTAAATTTTATTAATAAATAAGGAAACTAAATTACTATTTATCAGTAAAATTTACTAATTCAAAAGTATTTTTGTTTTTTACTTAGAAAATTTTACTAATTAATTAATAAATAAAGAATGCACGGAAAGAAAAAGTCCGTCAATCATTAATAGACTAGTATATTACTTTGAGACGGGACACAAAATCATTGAATGGATAACATACTTTGAGTCACAATCAGTGACGAGTTACTTGCTAAAATTTAGAAAACTGTCATCAATATATAAAACTCGTTCACTAAAATTTAGAAAACTGTCTATTAAATTTTCTATGACTATCAAAAGCATTCAAAAAATTCAACTTCTTTCAGAATTATCCCTAATTTTAGACACTATTTGGTACAGAATGAACACATTTTTTTCGTTGCACAGTTCCGATATTTTATTTACACTCTTAGACGCTTTAGACCAACACATTTTCCAACACATTTTCGCACTTATAATAACTACACGTAGAAACGCACACTTATAACACTTTAAGTTTAGAAGCAAACTGTTCTTATATACCAAATAACAAAATTTTTCACAACTTGTGAGAAATGATTTTGCACTAATAACTACTTTTTAATTAGCGAGAAATATAAAAGAAAATATATTTTCATCGAGGTCAATTTCTAGACGCAATTCAACTGCAAATTGTTAGTTAAGTTAAATATTCACATTACACATAATAGTATATAGGGATATGTATAGCAGACAGCAAAAACACATGGACTATAGAGAAACCGGAAGAAATGCGCATCGGTACACTGCGCAACAATGCGCTAGTGAAGAGCGCCGATTTAGAATACGAGTCAACTAACGTTTCACAAACTTTCACTAATGATTCGTAAACATTCAAACAGCCATTGATAACAATTCAGCATTAAATCTAAAACAATTGGTCACATACTGGCATTCTAATCAATCCATGACTCGTTTTCAATCGTTAAGTAAAGTTAAGCAACCATCAACGGAAAAAGAGTCCCGTCTCAAAGTAATATACTAATCCATTAATGGTTGACGGACTTTTTCTTTCCGTGTGTAAACTTCTATTTTTTTTTAGTAAAATTTACTAGTTTAAAAGCAAAAATAATTTTTAATTAGTAAATTTTACTAATAAATAATTTACTTTAGTTATTTATTAGTAAAATTTACGAATTGAAAAGAATTCTTACTTTTAAATTAGTAAATTTTACTGATAAGTAATTATTTCCGCTAATTTATTAGTAATAGGTAGTTACTAATTTATTATTTATTACTAAAATTTTATTAATAAATAGTTTAGTAATTTATTTATATAATAAATTTTTCTGATAAATAGTAAGTTAGTTTTCTTATTTATTAATAAAATTTACTCGAAAATTTACTAATTAAAATGCACGTAAATTAAAAATCTTTTAAATTAGTAAATTTTAATAATAAATTAGTAGAAATAATTATTTATTAGTAAAATTTACAAATTTAAAAGCTTTTTAATTAGTAAATTTTTTATCATTATATGAGGAAAGTAAATTACTATTTATCATTAAAATTTACAAATAACTAACTAATCTATTTATTAGTAGAATTTACTAATTTAAAATAAAAAATCTTTTGAATTAGTACATTTCTGTAGTTTGACACCAAAACATCCAAGAAAAAAAATCCAAAGTACAAAAAATCCAAAGAGAAAATGTCCAAAGTAAAAAAATCCAAATGAAATAAAAAAAATAAATCAAACCAATTTTGAGGATGAGAAGACTCTTAAATTTATTCCGTTTGTATTCACATTTACATGTGAATATGGTGACCAAGTAATTTGATATATTCTAATTCTTTCTCCTCCTGTGAGTACTCTTCGTAAGTTTTTACTATATTCAAAATTTGTTCGTCTAGACGTCTTTGCTTTCCAGGCGGCAAATTTTTTACTCCTTTTCCCAAGTTTAGGTCTCTTAACATGTACTCCACATCGGCTTGTTCCTTTTGTAAGTCTTTGAGAAAGTGATACAGGCTTGGATGACTTCGTCCGACTAAAATTTGAAATCTATTATGCCACCCTTCCGAGGCATTGTTGGTACGAGCAGTTCCCTGAAGTACTGAGTGATAGTGGTTCCAAACAGATTATAATTTTGAAAATTTTGAATAAATGTGAACGAGAAAGAGAAATTGACAGAAGATTAAAGAAAAGACAACCGCATAAATAAAAATGACAATTTCACATTGCTTATATTTTTTTGGAATTTTTTCAATTTTGGACTTTTTACTTTTACTTTGGACATTTTGACCAAGACATAAAATCCAATCTAAAAAATCCAACATAAACAATTTTCAAAATTTTTTTTTGGATTTCATTGACTGTGGACTTTTTGTCTTGGACTTTTTGGTTTGGACTTTTTGTCCAGGTACCCTGTAGTTTTTATATATAGAATATTAGGTTTTAAATAAATATAATAATATATTTTAACTAATTTTTTAGTAAAATTTACTAATGATTTACTAATTTACTAATTTTGATTTAATAAATTTTACTCATAAATAATGAAACTTAACTATTAATTAGTGAAATTTTCTATAATTTAAAAGCAAAAAGTCAGTCACTAGTACAAAATAGTGAACATTAGTTTATTAATTCAAATTTAGAGAACTTATGGGAAACTAAAGAATAACTAAAAAATTTAGCCTAAAAAGTGTTACGGATAAAAATTTCGTATATATAAATACGAAATTGATTTTAATTGTTTTAAAATAAAATAAAATAAAATAAAATATAAAAGAAGAGAGAATGATATATAAAAATTTGTTAATTACTCACACTTGGGATGTTGTCATTGGTACAGACTCCTTCCTGCAGTAGACGATCTCGAATCTCCCAGGCAAAAATCGAGGGGCACTCGCTCTTGTAGAGGGAAATTTTACTGACGACCTCTGCAGTTGCAACTCGAGGTTTACTGCCGCCAATTGCCCTCGGTCTAATTGAACCCGTTTCATAGTACCTAGAACAATAATAATTTGCGATACAATACAATAAATGTGTTAAAAAATGATAATATTTTATTTATAAAAATTATATTATAATTAACACTAGCATTAAATTATATTTTTTTTGTCTTTAATTTCACTTCTTTCATTATATTCAATTTTAAAATTAGAAAACACTCGGATTTTTCTATTTTTCTTTTAAAAAACTCGAAACAATTGCAAACAATCGCAAAAAAACCGAAAACTTGAAAGTTTGCAATGCAAACTGAAGAGCAAATTTTTTTTTGCAAGATCGAAAACAATTGTTTTAAAGGTGTTAACACCTTTAAAACAATTGTTTTCGAACTTGGCAAAAAAAAAATTCATAGCGTCGATGCAATAAGTAAAAAAAATTACCTAAAGTTTAGAATTTTTTCCAGAAAATTATGTGCACTTTAGAAGCTTCTCTTTTTCTCTCTCTCAGGTTTTTAACGCATATTTTCCGTCTATCCTTTTGAGAGTCTCGTAACGCACGCAAATTAGTTTCCCGTGAGTGGTGAGAGCCTTGAGTTGTTATAATACTTGTATGTATATTTTTCCGAAGGGAGAGCGAGAGAGAAGGAGAGGGAAAACCGCAAGTAAAAAAATACTGCGTGCAACAAGGATAGAGTTATGAAAAAAAAAAAAAAAAAAAAAAAAAAATGAAGGAAAGGAAAAAGACACAAGGGACATACCACAGGAATGTGAAACATGCGACACGATCTCTCCTCCTACACACATTCCTTCACTGTATGGTATATATTATAATACTCGCGCTTGCGTAATAAAATACGCACTTAATTCTCCATAAGCGATAACTGGACCACGCCATTGCGTTTATATAAATATAAAATCTAATTCGTCATTATGACGATGAAATTAAAATTTCCCAAGTATACTTGTAAATTCAATTCTATTTTAAATTTTCGAAAAAAAATAACTTCTACAAAATTGTCAATTAAAAGTATATGAAAAATCTAGATTTTCAAAGAATTGAATTTTAAACTTTATCAAAATTGAATTATTTAAAAAAAAAAATTCATCCTTATAATGCTTCTAATATTCAATTATTATCTAAAACTTTTACTGAAATTCATTTTCAAATCAATTTTTATTAGAAAATTCTACGTAAATTCAATTATTTAAATACAAATGAAATGCAAATAAATAATTTATTGAATAATTGAATGTTTCGCAAAATTGAATTCTAATAAAGAATTTCATCAAAAAACTTTTGAAATAATTACATTTTTTCGACGAATTTTTAATAACTACTTTTAAGAATAATTGCATTTTTTAAAAAATTCATGAAAATATTTTTAAAATAATAATTGAATCCAAGTGATGAATTTTATTTTGAAAATTTAGAAATAATTGAATTCATGCGAAAATTTTTATTAAAATTTTCAAAAATAATTGAATCTCTAAGAATTTTAATATTTATGAAAATAACAGAATTTTCGCGAAGAATTTTATTAAAATTTTTTTAAATAATTGAATAATTCCAGTAAACAATTTTATTATTTGTTAAAATAATTGAATTCTTGTTCAAAAAAATTTATACAAGAATTTTAAATAATTATCTTGTTCGAAAAATTTTATGGAAATTCTACTTTAAAGAATTGAGTTCCGGTGAAATTTTAATATTAATGAAAATAATTGTAAGCTTGCGTAGAATGTTATGAAAATAGTGTTTTTTAAATAATTGCATTCTTCTGGGAAATTTTACAAAAAATTAAAGATCTTGAAAATCTTTGATTTGCGAAATTCTTTTTAAAATAATTGAATTTTTTATAAGAATTTTGTTAAAAGTTTTTAAAATAATTGAACTTTGACCAAGAATTTTGCTATTTAGAAAATTAATATTGAATTTTTGCGATGAATATTGGGGATTATTTATGAAGATAATTGAATTTTGCAATGAATTTTAATAAAAGTTTTAAAAATAATTGAATTTCGATGAAAAAAATTGCTATTTATAAAAATAATTGAATTTCTGCGACGGATTTTATTGCTTTTGAAAATAATTTAATTCGCTGTTGATGAATATTGATTATTTATGAAAACAATTGAATTTTGCAATTAATCGTAATAAAAGTTTGGAAAATAATTGAATTTCGATGAAAATTTATGCTAATTATAAAAATAATTGAATTTCTGCGATGAATATTGGTAATTATTTATGAAAATAATTGAATTTTTCAATGAATTTTATAAAAAGTTTTGAAAATAATTGAATTTTGATGAAAAAATTTGCTATTTACAAAAATAATTGAATTTCTGCGATGAATTTTATTGCTTTTGAAAATAATTGAATTCTCGTGATGAATATTGATTATTATTTATGAAAATAATTGAATTTTGAAATGAATTTTAATAAAAGTTTCAAAAATAATTGAGTTTTGATGAAAAAATTTGCTATTTACAAAAATAATTGAATTTCTGCGATGAATTTTATTGCTTTTGAAAATAATTGAATTCGTGTGATGAATATTGATTATTATTTATGAAAATAATTGAATTTTGAAATGAATTTTAATAAAAGTTTCAAAAATAATTGAATTTCGATGAAAAAAATTGCTATTTATAAAAATAATTGAATTTCTGCGACGGATTTTATTGCTTTTGAAAATAATTTATTTCGCTGTTGATGAATATTGATTATTTATGAAAACAATTGAATTTTGCAATTAATCGTAATAAAAGTTTGAAAAATAATTGAATTTCGATGAAAATTTTTGCTATTTATAAAAATAATTGAATTTTGCAATGAATCTTAATAAATGTTTTAAAAATAATTGAATTTCTGCGATAATTGAATTTCGATAATGAATTTTGTTATTTATTAAGATAATTGAATTCTTTTGGCGAATTGCATTAAAATATTTGAAATAATTAAATTTAATATTTATATTTAGTATTTAGGTAGATATTTAGTATTTAGGTATACATATTTAGTGTTTGTAGAAATAAATTTAAAAAAACAAAGAAATTTTTAATTTGTTAAATAAAAAAATTCTTTTTTGATCCTTTTATGGGGGAGTAAAACGGTTTATCACAATTTAAGCCAAGCGGTACGAGTCAATAAAGATTTTTTTCTAATCTCCAGAGTCAAGAATAGGGTCAACTTAATACTATATATGTATACTGAAAGGAGACTTCTCGGAAAAAGGAATAAAGCGTTTTTAAAAGAAGAAAATGTATATCAGAATCGTGAGAAACTATTTTGGAAAAGAGGGTGTTTATAATCCATGTATATATAAGAATAAGAGAAAAAGAAGGTGGATCAGAAAAATTTTTGATTTTTGAAAAGAAATTTAATTATATAGGGTATAGTAGCATCAGTGAAAGAATTGACACAGCAATAAAAGAACAAATTGATTATTTATATCACGATATTTCACAAATTATAATTTTTAGCACTATCAAAAAAATATTTTTTAGTTCCTTATTTCTTGAAAATATATAGTTTATGCTAAAACAATAAATTCAATATGCAAGTTATTTCTGAAAATAATTTTTTAATTTTTTGATGGGTTATGAATTCAAGAATGGCAATTAAAAGTAAAAAATATCAAAAGTATATACATTTCCTTAAATGTCCTTTCACTGGTGCTAATTATATATAAATAGGGTAGCTATTTAAGGGAAGGGAAAAAATAATTTTATAATAAGCAGTATTGCAACCAACCTGCCAAGGATCTTCGAGACACATCCATTGCTGACCTGCAGAATTCTTGATATGTCACAGGGCCTCGCTCCCGAATGAGCCAACTCGACGATCTTTTGCCTCGTTGAATCGGGCAATGGTCGACCGCCAACGAAAACGCCACCCAGCTGGTTAACCCCACTGTGACCTGAAACAAATAAACATTTTGTCACACATCATTTCAACAAAAAAATTGGTACTTTTTTATTTTTTTTTTATTACATTATTTTAAAAAAGGAATTATGTTAACAATTACTTTTTGGTTTTTCCAGGCTTCACACTCAATTAAATGTTTTGTTACACACTTTTACAAAAGGTAATTAAAATTTTTAAATATTTCAATTTAGTCTTTTGAAATTTAATTATTTCTATAAATTCTTAAAATAACGCTACCATAGATTTAAATTTGAACTGAAAATCATATTTAAATCAATTCTTTTCATCCAAACTTGTACGAGAATTCAATTATTTAAATATGAAAAATAGGTATTGAAAATCATTGAATTGAGAAAAATTTTTGAAAATAATTGATATTTTGACAAGAATTTCATTAAAAGTTTTAAAAATAATTGAATTTCGGAAAAGAATCTTGCTATTTTCAATAATAATTGAATTTCTGCCGCATGAATTTTATAAATTCAATTATTATTAAAAATTTTTAAATTTAATTATTTTGCTATTTTCAATAATAATTGAATTTCTGACGAATGAATTTTATAAATTTTTAAAATAATTGAATTCTTATGTATACAAGAATCTTATTGAATACAAGAATTCAATTATTTAAAAAATTTATAAAATTCATGGCAGAAATTCAATTATTATTGAAAATAGCAAAATAATTGAATTTTAAAATTTTTTAAATTCATGGCAGAAATTCAATTATTATTGAAAATAGCAAAATAATTGAATTTTAAAATTTTTTAAATTCATGGCAGAAATTCAATTATTATTGAAAATAGCAAAATAATTGAATTTAAAAATTTTTTAAATTCATGGCAGAAATTCAATTATTATTGAAAATAGCAAAATAATTGAATTTAAAAATTTTTTAAATTCATGGCAGAAATTCAATTATTATTGAAAATAGCAAAATAATTGAATTTTAAAATTTTTTAAATTCATGGCAGAAATTCAATTATTATTGAAAAAAGCAAAATAATTGAATTTTTAAATTTTTTAAATAATTGAATTTTTATTATAACATAACAAGAATTCAATTATTTAAAAAATTTATAGAATTCATGTCAGAAATTCAATTATTATTAAAAATAGCAAAATTATTGAATTTTAAAATTTTTTAAATAATTGAATTCTTGTCATAACAAGAGTTCAATTATTTAAAAAATTTATAAAATTCATGGCAGTAATTCAATTATTATTGAAAATAGCAAAATAATTGAATTTAAAATTTTTTAAATTCATAGAAGTAATTCAATTATTATTGAAAATAGTAAAATAATTGAATTTTTAAATTTTTTAAATAATTGAATTCTTGTTATAACATAACAAGAATTCAATTATTTTAAAAATTTATAAAATTCATGGCAGAAATTCAATTATTTTTTGTAATTTTATTAAAATTACTGAAAATAATTGAATTTCTGGAAAGAATTTTGTTATTTCAAAAAAAAAAAAGAAAAATTATTATTTCCAAAAATAATTGAATCCTTTAGAAGAATCTTATTATTTATGAAAATAATTAAATTTCTGCGAAGAATTTGATAATAATTCTTTTTAATAATTGATTTTCCTCAAAAAAATTTAATTGAAAATTTATTTTAATTTTTAAATAATTGAATTCGTGTATAAAATTTATTATTTTATGAAAAGAATTGAATCCTAGTGCGGGAAATTTTATTAATATTAGTAGATTTTGTAAATAATTGGATTTCGAAGAATTTTTGATAATAATTGAATCGTTTCTAAGAAATTTTACTAATTTTAGATTTTGTATTTTTTTTAGTATTTTTAATTTTGTATTTTACTAATTTTTAAATTTTTACTCAGTATATTTTCAATTATTCCAGTTTTGTTTTTCACTGATTTTTAAGTTTAGTATTTTTAGTATTTTTCGTTTTGTCGTTTTCCATGCAGATTGAAATTTCTTAAAACTCAAATTTCTCCGGCAAAAATCAGAATTTTAATTTTTTAAATTCATTAAAAAATTGAATGAATTTAAAAAATGACGAAACAGAATACAAATGTCATATTATTGTACATATAGAATAAAATAACTAGAATAGGCTTGTATATAGAAAATTTCTAAAAGATACTTTATAAGTAATAGTATACCCTATTATTAAACTACGATCGGGAAAATTGATTTTAGAAGAAAACATTTCCAAAGTCAGTAAATCATATAAATATAAGTATATAAATGAAAAAAATAAAATTGTGATTCTTCTTCTTTTCATTGATAGGAAAAAAAAAAAATTTTTTTTCTCTATATCTAAAAAATTTTTAGAGTGGAAGATTAATTTCAGGGGTTGGCGAATTCGTCGTAAATCTAACAATCAATGATATTAGAAATGGGAGTCTGTCATGGACCGGAGTGTCCTCTCACATATTATTATACTTTCTTCACAGGAGACCTTTTTTTATTTCGCCTCGTGTGTCTCCGCTCGAGAACTGCCACGCCCGCTTCTGGCACTTTTTTTTCTTCTCTCTCCCTTATATTTCTTGACTCCTTTAAATCTCAAGTTCATTCCATTTATTAACATCTATTCGAATTTATATTCTAAAGTGTGGAAATTATTTAAAATTTTTAACTTTATTTATATTTATGATATAAAATATTTAAAAACTAGTCATCTACTCGTACTTACCCTATAAAATATTATCAAAATGTCTTATAGCGTCTTTTAAAATTAAAAAATATTTACGTTTTTCAAATTTCAAAGAGTAAATTTGATCAAGAGTTTTATATTAAATTTGATTCTCTTTTGAATTAAAAAATTATTTCTGTCTCGAATTAAAAGAATATTTGCGCATTTTAAATAAAAAATTATTCGATAAATGACGTTATTATGGTACTATATATATATATTAAAAGAATGGAAAATCCTATCAGTTTATTTTCAAAGGGTGGTTCGTGATGCATAGGTTCATGTATCAATGAAAGAGAGAAAGAGAAACAGAGAAGAGGGAGGAGGGGTACGCTTTTTGGTGAAAATTTATCACCTCAACCAAATACATATATATATGTATATACAGAATATCGACAAAAGACTTACGCTCGATTGACTTTTCTGAAAAAAAAAATTGAATGAAATGAAGAAGCTAGAATCTGTAACATTTTTGTGAGTTGTAAAAAGAGAAATACGAAAAGCGACAATCTCTTACTAATAGGCCAAGTGGCGCTGACACGCATCACAAAGAGTGAACACGCGTGTTAAAAATTTATTGAATCGAGTGGCGAGAAAAATTATTTATATATACAATAATAGAAAAGAAAATATAATTATTACTTGATTAGTGTTTATATGATTATTGAAATAGCTGCCCAGAAAAAACGGTAAATATTTTAAGAATCTCCTACTTAAATAGGAGAACAAAAATATTCCATACTTTAATTAAGTGCCCCAGTTAAATTAAGTGGGAATTCTTAAAATAAGAATCTTACTATAAGAATATATTCTCATTGTAAGAATATTTCCGCACTTAATTTAAGTGGGGCACCTGGGCACCTTTTTTATAGTATATATATTCTTAAATTAATATTTTTTCCAGTGTAGTGAAGTTAGAAGAAGAATAAATAAGCATATTTAACTCTCTGCTGATGCTAACGACCGTTATCGTCAAAAATCGTCATTCTGGACGCCTGGTGGGGACTATGGGAGTTTCGTTCTTTGGCGATAGAGTGGGGATAAGTTAGCATCAGCAGAGGGTTAAGTGAGAACCTAATTAACTTATACTTTGTATATGAAAATGATCCCCATGCTCGAGTGCGTGAATGAAATATAAGAATAAGCAAAGGCTAAAAGGCGGTGAAGAAATATTGAATGCGACAGCTAAATAGTAATAATAACCAGTACAAATAACAATAATGCTGGGTGCTCATATGCTGGCATTGTTGCGAAAATGCGGATCATAAATATGTTGTAAGGGAATACACACGTGGGGTGGAGAACTTAAGGCCTTGTACAAACGTGCTCCAGGCTCGTTTATGTATTTAATATATCGTATATACATGTATATACCAACGATGAATTGCTGCGGTACTGAGGGGTGCGTTCAAGTGGGCATTCTGCACGATTCGTGTTTTGATATTGTAACGCTTCCATTTAATATCAGTCAACACACCATGCAACCATTTTTATCTCTCTCTTTTTCTCTCCTTAGACTTCATTAGCTTATACAAACCTTAAATTCTTCACCGAGGGCTCTTATTATATATACAAATCACATTTGGTCTCAATATATAAAAAAAGGGAGAAGAGTGCGAAGAACTTTTGGATTATTGCACTGTTTTTGATATCCTTAGAATACTGTTTTATTTACGTAGGAGCTTCTTAAAATTAGATTGCCGTTTTTTCTGGGCACCTATTTCAATTATTTGTTAAAGAATTGGCAGACAAGAAGAGAATTTGGTTAAAAATTTGGGTTAAGGAAAATGAAGAAGAGAAAATTTTGTGATGCAAAATTTGGGAGAAGGAAAGAGAAAGAAGACGAATCGTGAGGTTGCTCATCTTTAACGAAAGAAAAGGATATAGTTTACAAACGAGCGACAGAACATCGCTGACGCGATAGCTGAGCCGACACATTTATCATCCCCCCTGAAAGATTTCTCTTTTCTTCTTTTTCTCTAACGATATGCGCGCGGGATGATTCGCCATCCTCTCTCTGTGTGTGTATGTTCAATAATCGATAGGGACACATGTCAAGACGATCGTCTAAGTTATTAAAATCTGATGACATAGAAAAAAGACGTACGCAGAGAAACCCTGATGATGACACTGATGGGCAAAATCATGCGACTAAATAGTTACTATAACTGTACCATGATTTTGCCATGGTTACTATAACTATACTTCAGCCATAGTTTTACCGCACGTTTCTAAATACCAAAAATTTATAATCTGATCCAAAAATTTTTGGATATTAATATTGACACTTTATTGCAATTTGAAGACAATTTGATACCCT